ATGAAAAAGAAGAAGGATCTTGAACAAAGAGAACCCAAAAAGGAGAAAAACCTGGTCCTCAAGGCAGACAATAGTTACTCAAGTGGTGATGATGCTGACATGTCCTATCTTACTCGGAGATTCCAGAAAATGGTTCGTAGAAATAGAGGAATCCCTAAGAAAGGCAGCTCTAGAAGAAATACCAAAGGTCACGACTGTTATCACAAGTGCGGAAAGCCAGGACATTTCATCAAAGAGTGTCCTCTTCACAAGTAGGACCACAACATACACAATGCGAATAAGACTGTTAAGAGGAACCCGGTACCCGACGGGAAGTTCAAGAGAAGATATGCCATTGATAATGTTGTAAAGCAAGTTCTAGCTACTTGGGGAGATTTCTCTAGTGAATCTGAGGGTGATGATGAATAAGGAGACACCTCCATGATGGTCGTTGAAGGCGGAGCTGCAGAGTATGACTCCATATTTGCACTAATGGCAAATTCTGATGAGGATGAAGATAATGATAACGACGAGGTAAACTTTCTGGACGTTCAAAGAAATTTGAAGTCTTAGTCTAAAAAGAAGCTGGTATCTTTAGCTAATGTCTTAATTGATGCTTACCACAACCTCATTAGTGGTAAAAATATTTTAACTGAGAAATTCAAAAAGTTAGAACAAGAGAGAGATGATCTAGTGGTTGTAGTTGTAGATTTGATGGGAACAGTGGAGGAAACAAAGAAAGAAAATATCCTTTTAAAAAATTCCATGGAAAAATATATGAACTCCTCTAAAGGAAAGGAAGTGGCAAGTGAGGCACACCTTAGGCTTGAAAATGAACTCAAAAATGTAAAATTGAGTCTTGTTGCTGAACTTGAAAAAAATAGACAATTTCATAAAGATTTAAGTAGGGTTAAAAGTGATCTAGAAATCTCTAAAGTGGACCTGGTCCTCTAATACAATTACTTCCATGTATAAAAGTAATGGGGGGAACATGCAAGGAATCAGGTTCCACAAGGAAAAAGCCCCCTATAACCCACAAAGCAAGTATGTTACTGGGCTTGATAACTGGCTTTGCACTCACTGCGGTAAAATTAGAATTTCAAAGATTCCTTTAAGGCAAAGTTTCAGTCACAACAGAAAAATAAAGTTTTTGTTGAAAAAATATCTCCTGCTAAGGAACCTGATTCTCTGAAAAGGAAATGTGTGATACCTGCAGGGACAAAAAAGAAATCTAATTCGCCCTTTCCCTCATTACAAGAGACCCAGACTTGTTTGGGCTCCTAAGTCTAATCTCTGATTCTCTTGTGCAGGCAGTAGTGAAAGGAAGCAGTCAAAAATGGTACATGAATAGTGGCTGCCTAAAAACATGACGTAAGGAATGGATAATTTCCTTTCACTCAAGGCCCTGCAAGGTGGGAGTGTGTCCTTTGGAAATGGCAAGAAAGGATACATTGTGGGAGTGGGAAAGATTCACATGATAAGGATGATCAAGATGGAGATAATTCAAAGGTCCTTGGAGAGGTTATTGACATGGCAAATGAGAAGGCAGATCTAATGAGTCAAGTCAAGGATACCAATAAAGAAGATGTAGCAGAACCTACAGTTGATTTGGAGGAACCTGGTTCCTCCATCATGGCAACTGAAGCTTACAGAAGAGTTGATGATATTGTATTAGGCACTCCTGATGCAGAGCAAAGAAGTGGAATTCATACTTCCATCAATAATAATGATGGGTCACACCTGGAGGAACCTAGTCCCTCTCATCCTAAAACCCAGGTGTCTAACTGGAAACACAAGAGCTCACATCCTCTTCAAAAAGAAAATACTCCTTTGGACTCTGGTATCCAGACTAGATCTAAGGCAAGAAACGTATTTGCCTTCTTAGCCTTCTTGTCTCAAATTAAGACAAAAATATCAAGGAAGTGTCACGCCCCAAACCCGGGGAGGCGTGGATGGTACCCGGTGTCGTACAGGCCCGAGCGAACCACTCTGTAACTCATTTTTTCTTCTGTAACTATTATGGACCAACATGACCACAATCCATAACGTATAACTATAAGTGGGAAAATACTGTATCAATGAACCATCTTTCTTAAAACATGAATACATCTGGGCCGTCAAGGCCTCTGACATACTGTACAAAATGAACCTCTGTCTACAAAGCCTCTAAGATTATTTGACATCAAATGGGACAGTGTACCGGCCTACCCATAAGTCTGTAGCAAAACTCTGACACGGTGACTTATAGACTCGGCTGCACTCCGAATGAGGTAGAGTCTTACCGATCCTTCACTGAATGCTAACCTCATCTACTATGAGGGCTCGTCAATCTAATTATCTATACCTATAGGCATGAATGCAACGTCCCCAACAAAAGGATATCAGTACGAATAATGTACCGAGTATGTAAGACAAAACAGAAACATAACAATAAGTCAACATTAATTAAAGACATATAAGAATCAACCTGAATCTCTGAAGTGCCACCATAAATGCATACTTATTATACTTATATATATAATGCTTCTCTTTGAGACTATTATCCATATCGTATGATGCATGACTGCCCAACTAATCAGTGGTAACTTCCCGACCGGCCGTAGTGCGGTGGTCATTGCATGACTGCCCGACCGGCCGTAGCTCGATGGTAAATGTGTATCTGCCCAACCGGCCGTATCTCGATGGTAAATGCATGACTGCCCGACCGTCCGTAGCTCGGTGGTAAATGAATATGCATGATTGCCCAACCGGTGGTAAGTAATGATACATAACTGCCCAACCGGTGGTAACTGCCCGACCCGCCGTAGCGCGGTGGTAAATGCATGGCTGCCCGACCGGCCGTAGCACGGTGGTAAATGAATATGCGTGAATATGCATGTATCACTATATTGTAAATATTAATATCTTTATCAAATACCTCAATAGATACTTAGGAACATACTTAGACATGCTTGAATATCATTTTACAAGAATGAATAACATAGACATCCTTACTACTAAGAGCAGGACCACTTATGGAATATCATTATATTTACGTATCGTTACTTGGATCATGCCAAAAGAAAGAACGATTAGCCTTAACATACCTTAATTGCTCATAAGAACTCAAGAAGGTCGTAGATGAACATTCAAACTTGGATCACATTCAAAAGAATTATCCTCAAGGTGTTGGCATGAATTCCGAAAACAAATGAAATAAATCCTTAACTAAGAGGCGCTGAACGTTTTTAGTTCCTTCTTCACACCAAATGATGTGTGAATGTTATAAGTAGCCTTTCCAAAAATGAGAACAAATGGTCATTAAATGTTTGGCTTCCATCTGGCCATGTATTGGCAGTGGAAGTCCTATATTTATGACACAAAATGCCTACTAAAACAAAAAATATATATATATATATCACATGCGTATCCCCATATTTTAGTACTTAATGTATATAAAATTTATCCACATAATTAAGAATTATCTCAAATTACTTAAAATACTACTCACATGTAACACACATTTATATATCTTACTATAAGATACTTTACTATCATGGTCATGTGGTACCATATAAAATCAATACATACACTATTATTTTATTAAAACATCCATGTAAATTACATATATTGTCTCAACTTCTAATTTTTCTAATCTCATACAAAGAGTAAAAATTTGCGTGCGCTTAATTCTTAAAATGGTAAAAAGATAACATTCTTTTATTGTGAGAAAATAATTTCTATCTTTACAATAAAGAAAATCTGTAACGACTCGGCCGGTCATTTTAAGAATTAATGCCCCGATCCCCTATTAACTGCTTTCCCCGTGTTTATTTCTGCTATTGTGAGCTGCCGGGAGGATTCGTTTGGAGTTTCGGAGAGTTTTGGAACACTTAGTCCCTAAATGAGAGTTTAAGCTTTAGAATTTGGACCGTAGTTGGAGTAGTGTGAAGACGGCCTCGGGATGGAATTCCTTTGGTTCCGTTAGCTCCGTTGGGTGATTTCGGGCTTAGGGATGTGTTCGGATTGTGTTTTGGAGGTCCGTAGCTTATATAGGCTTGAAATTCCAAAAGTCGAATTTTTGAAGTTTCCACTTCGATAGTGAGATTTTGATATCGGGGTCGAAATGGAATTTCGGAAGTTGGAGTAGGTCCGTCGTGTTATTTGGGACGTGTGTGCAAAATTTCAGGTAATTCGGACGAGGGTTGATAGACTTTTTGATCAAAAGCGGAAATTGGAAGTTTTGGAATCCTTAGGCTTGAATCCGAGGGTGATTTGGTATTCCGGCGTTGTTTTGAGTGTTTCGAGGTTGGTACAAGTTTGAATAGTGGTATATGACTTGTTGGTATTTTTGGTTGAGGTTCCGGGGGCCTCGGAATGATTTCGGAAGGTTGACGCAAGAAATTGGGAGATTTGGAAGCAACTTCAGCTGCTGAAGTGCTGTCATAACCGCACCTGCGGCTTGGGAACCGCAGGTGCGGGCTTGTAGAAGCGTGTGGCCAGTCGCAGATGCGGTTAGAGGAAGGAAAATGAGGAGTCGCAAGTGCGGGTGCTTTATCGCACTACAAAATACAGGTCATTTATGATAGTACTTGTAGAGTGATTCATCCTGAGCTAAGAGATGAACCTTGGAGAAATGATAACCACCAGAAGAACAGGGCCTGTTTATTTGGAGCTGGGAAAGGTGACAAGCCTTAAGACCAGAAAAGGACCAAGGGGTCGTGAAAGAGGATGGGCCTAATACTGCCATGCCCATTAAAAACAACTCTGGAGTGTTGACCAATATGAATATTCAAAATAATAAAAAAAGCAAGCATCATATCTTTGAAGTAAGCACACCATATAATATCTGGAGTGTGCATATTTTATGGCAACGACCCAACTCGCACCAATTAAGAGATCTTAAAGGAAAAAGGGGCAGGAACAGAGAGGAGGGCAAAGAAAATTTATTCCTATTCAGTTGTATATGAAATGATTTAAAACCATACTTTTACTAGGTACTACATACAATATATCTTTGATCAACCAGAAAGCATGCCAAGGGGAAAAAGGAACTATTTGCATGCGCTAACAGCATAACATTCCATAAGTTACGTGCATGCTAGAGTAGAAGGTAACAAATGCATTGCGGTAAATGTTGTTATGGCTACCAGAAGAGAAATAGTTAAACCAAAATAAAAGAAGATCTCAATGATTGGCAAAAGTACCTGATAAGCATCATAGAGGCTCGGCCGTATTAGCTCTGCCATGCTACCATCAATCACAATAAAGTTTTTGGTCCCATTGGTTTTAACTCCAGTAACACGGTTAACCAAGCAGCATGTATTTGCAATAAGTGATCTCCCAGGTTCAATAATGAGATTGAGGTTTCGTGAAAGAACCAGGTCACGGACCTATAGACAGTTAAACAAGAATATGTCACTAAAACCATATGCGCAGCCCAGAGTTAGAGCACTACCAATTTTAGTGCTATAGTAAGGACTCAAGCCTCACTGATGTCAGCATTACATCATTTGCCAAGAAAGTTGAAAGTTTTAAGTGCAACTCTTAAAATAAATTAAAAAGGGAGAAAAATACCAAACTCTAGAATGCCAAATGCTAGGTCACTTCCCACACATATCATCCACTACAATTATGGTTAAGGTGGACTGTAGCCCATCAAAGGTGAACATATCCACGGGAATACAGAGAGCACAATGTCAGCATATGATGGATCATTACTTAGACTCACCGGTTTTGTAATAATGCATTTGCATAAATTGCATATAAGTCATGACGTTTTTTAAATAAGTAGACTAAGCATCTAAATGAAATAAAGCCCGCCACTACTAAGAACTGGTCTTGAGGGAAAAATCCTTTACCATAAATGCTCAGGCAAGAAGTTATTTGCCTTAAATTAGGAAGAAACATTACCGTGTCAATAAGATCTCTGGGTGAAGGAAGGACAGCTCCAGAATGATAATAGTCAATTCCTAAACCACCTCCAATGTTCAAGTAATCAATTTCAAAGCCTTGGGATCGGATTTGGTCAATGTAGTTCACCATCAAGACAGCTGCATCTCTGAAAATATCTACCTGGAAAACACAATAAAGTTTTAGGTTAACAAAACAGTGAAAATAATGCCACTGCCATTGGTATAATACATTAAGACCCTCAAAATTCACAATAGAGAGGAACGAACAGACATATGCCTCCAATTAGCAATCCACGTAACGAGCAAGCTGCATGAACCTATAAAATTCAACATAACTTAGGGCTCCACCCTACATGTTTTACTTGTCAAAAGATGCTGTCAGACTTCCACATCATACAGATCAGCAGATATGATATTGGTAGAACGCTCATATGTTGGCAATTTGCATCAGACGAGAAGGAGAAGACCGAAGTATCACAATTCCTTCAATTTGTCTTCTTTTTTTAAACCTTATGACTTCAGAACCTCCCAAAAGGTAATTCCTCCATCTGCTTAGTAACTGTTTCCTCGTGTTTTTAAAGGCGAAAAAGAGACAAGATCCATAGGCCTTGGACCGAAAAGTGAAGCGCATAAATTACGAAAAATAAAAATATACCAAACATCTTTTTTTGTATAAGGAAAAAAAATTATTCCGAACATATATGAACTTAGTATAATAATTTTTTTCTTTATATCTGGCCAGCTTGTGCACACCTCAACCATTCCTCCTCACAATTGAGATTAAAGGTATCGATTGCTTCTTGTTGGGATAACTTTACGCATCGTGCCCATCATTGTTTGAAGCACGCACTTCCCAGAAGCGCATTCCTTCGCCCATGAAGCGACGATCCTCGCTTTGCATCGCTTCATTACATTAAGTAACGATGTAATGACTTTTAATGACACTGTTATTTCCTAGTAATAAAACCAGCATAACCACTTGTACTCAAATAGACAGAGGAGAGAGAACGGGGGCAATGGGAGACAAGGAGGCAAAAATGAACTATTGATGGAGGAACCTAGAAAGTGATTCATATCTGACGTGGCGTATCAGATAATAACGAGGATATCCATCACAATAGATAACACCCACGAAGCAAGTTCTAGCACTAGAAGGCAGGTTATGAGTCATGTTGTATGGGTATCATATCAGCCTATCGATACTTAGAGCCTTGTTAATGTGGTATCAAACTACAGATTGACAACAAGGCAATTGCCAATTTCTAAGTAAGTAGAGCACTTCTTGTTGAGTAAAGTACCCAAGGTGTTAAAACTGCAGCATATGATATCAGTTTAATAATTACATGTAGACACTCCCAACAATACCTTGGTGATTGATGACCCCAGATGGCAATGAGCACCGATAAGTTTCAATTCCCGAGGATGTGCCTTGACAACGTCTAGAAACCATTGCAGCTTCTCATTTCTGATACCAAATTTTGAGATCTTATTGCCGGTGGCAACATACGGATGAACCTAAACCCACTCAAATTTAGTATGAGAAACCATAACCCTCAGAATGGAGACTAATCAGCCATCATCAAAATATTAAGCATATGAATAAAAACTTCATATGGCTCAACAACTTGACTGAATGACTGAGATACTGCAAATGAATACCTGGGGGTCAACATCAGGATTAATTCTGAGTAGCACATTAACCTTCTTCCCGGCAATCCTCGCGGCGGCTAAGATGTTATCCAAGTCAAATTCACTGTCAATGTTTACAAAAACACCTTCTTGGGCTGCTAACACTAGGTCGTCCAACAGTTTCCCATTTCCATTAAAGATACACCTGCGCAACAAAAGCTGATGCTTCAACTTAACATGACTAGAGTTGATAGCCATTCAAGGTGACACCATTACTAAAATGTGAATGAATTAGGTCATCATCTTATCCTAAATGCAGAATATATCCCGTGCATGTCCATTATTTGCTAGTAGCAAGTCAACCAATCAATCAACTATGTTTCAATCTAAAATGAGTTGCGGTCTGCTATATGAATCATATGTATTCATTTCGCACTATTTGGACCCATTTCATTGCAAAACTAAATTTCTTATCAACTTGCTGATAGCAAGTATAATGACAATGATCGTACTCAACTCAAAACATAAAGAAACCCAACTAGACAAATTGAAAAAGAAAGAATTCAGTTTGTGCTCAAGACCGACACAATTCCTTCTGAAGCTCTATAATTCTTAGAGGATCCTCTCTAAATTAGAGAAGTACAAGTTCAGCAGAAAATGCCACTTATTTGAAAGGCTGCCAAGTTTCTACCTGAAAATAGTACCTTCACTTAGCAAATAAATATTAAATGTTTGAGATATACTTTACTACTAGCACGATGAAATAAAATGAACATCCAGTAAAGTTTAAGAAAAGATAAAGTTCAGATACTATCAATGATCTATGCCTCGATCCAATTATTATCCATTCTAATCAGGTTTATTTCATTTCAATACCAAAAAAATTGTTTTTTTGAGGCAAATGGGGTTCTAAGAAACTAGATATTCTCTCTAACAGTTATCCTACACGAATTGAGTAGTGAGTTCTTTTTACCAACATGCCATGAGTTATGTATATAAAAACACGTATTCTGAACGTTACAGTATTACCTGGTAGGATCAAAACCAGCACGAAGTGCCAACTTGAGCTCATTACCACTCACCAAAACAGCACCACAACCCAACTTCCTCAAATGTTCCAAAATCTTGAGATTATTATTAGCCTTAATAGCATATCCAATAATTTGATTCAAACCCACCAAAGCATCCTTATAAGCCTCAACGTTCCTAGTAATTTGGGGCTTACTATAAAGATAAAAAGGCCGTCTTTCCACTGTGTCCATAACATCTTGTACCTTAACACCCTCACAGTACAAAAACCCATCTTCAGATTTCTTGAAACAATGCTCAAATTTCTGTGTTTGTGTCTCTGAGGAGGTTGATGCAACTGCTGCCTTTATGCTTAGGTTTCTTGAAGAAATGGGCTTCAGTGGGAAAATGGGTTTGAAGGAGGAGACTTTTGGAGAAGGGTAGTATAGGAACTTGGGAAGGGATGGAGATTGAGAGATGAGGTGTGATGCCGCCATTGTTGGAACAGACTCGAAGCTTTTACAGCTTGTTTGGATGGTATTGTATTGTATGTGTTGTTACTTTAAATATAATTTTTAATTTTTATTTTGATTGTTATTTAAATTTTATTCTATCCTATCGTTAATTTCGTTGTTACTTAATGATGAAATGTGCCACTTTATTTAATGATCGATTTGGTGTGGTCGTATCGTTACTTTGTCTTTTTATCTCAATCTCATCCTTTATTATTATTAAATAATTTTATTTTATTATTTGCCCAACCTTTTTATATATCGTATCATAATTTTTCTTTATAATATTACAAGTTTATTCATCATATTACAGGTGATGATACCATAAAGTGACGGCAAAACGACATAATCCATCTAAACATTGTATTCATCAAACGATACAGTACAGTACAATACAACACGATACGATACATTATAAAACAATATGTAACAACCATCCAAACAAGTTGTTAGCCTGCAAAACTGTAACGCTTTTACAGACAAGATGAGTTGTTTCCTTCCTCCACTGCCACCACAACTCCCTACCTCACTAGTAATCTATGCACAACCTCCTAACCCCCCAAACCATCAACCACAGTCCTGGATCGAGTTGGGGCTGGGGCATGCAATATCCTTCAACTTGCAGATCAATGGTCAGGACTCAGTCCTCATCATCCAGAACACAAACTACCTAGCACAACTGATCTTAGAAGGCATGTACCTAGCCATGACCAACTACATCAACCAAATGTGGATGAACAACGTATTGCAGCCACTGCTCCATCAATGAACCAAAATCTAGCCAACAACATGTAGTAAATGTGGAATGTTCCGAGGAATCCCAACATTCTGATGCCCCCGAACATCCCTCTCAACCTTCCATTTTTTGCACCGGAAAAGATGTCACTAGTGAACCCCATATTCACCCGCTGGGATGTGCAACAACCTCCACCACCTCTTGTCCCTCAACAACAACCCCCCATGCAAGAAGAACAAGCTCAACCACAGGAGGACATGCAACAACAAGAGCAAAATCAAGAGGAAGAGGTAGAACACATCCAATATCAGGGGGAGCCAAGGGTGGCATTCTCAAACCTAAGCGAGGTAAAAATCTTAATCTTCAAAGAATGGCTCGACAAGAAAGCATCATCAGCTGTCCGATGACTCTGTCCAAGTGCTCAATAGATATAAGGCCCCCACACGATCCAACAGTAGGAAAAAATGTAGTTATCCTAGTACCATCCCACAAGAGGAAAAATACCATGGCAACGCGGGAGAACAATCACAACCACCCTACACCCCTAATGATGAATCAACCAATTAACTTTGTTATTTGAAATGTCCGGGGTGCAAACAATGCAAACTTTAGAAGAAACATTAGAGAAATCATGGATACCCACAAGCCTAGCATAGTTACCCTCCTGGAAACAAGGATGGCTACGCATGTATCCATTTTGGAAGAGTTTAACTTCATAGAGATGATTGAGGTATCAGCGGAGGGGCAAGCTGGAGGGATGGTGATCCTATGGAACCATACAAGAGTTGTAGTGAACAACTTCACAAGAAGAAATCAGGAAATTCACGCCATGATAGAGGTAAAACCCAACCTCAAATCCTGGCTTTTTAGTTCTATATATGCTAGTACAAATAAAACAAACAGAGATACCCTTTGGCATAACATTGAAAATCTATTTGATCATTATAAAGGTTCTTGGCTAGTAGGGGGGGGGGGACTTTAACGATGTTACTAGAGCAAAAGAAAAAAATTGGTGGGAAGGCAGTCAACCAAAATAGAGCTAAGAAAATTTTAGCTAGCCTAAACTATTGTAAATTACTAGACCTAGGTTTCAAAGCGTGCAAATTCATGTGGTCAAATCATAGAAGAAAAAATAAAGGCTTAATAATAGAAAGATTAGACAAAGTATATGCCAACATGGAATGGCTAGAACAATACCCCCAAGCCTCAATAGTTCATCTTCCTAAGACACATTCTGACCACAACCCATTTTGATCTCTTTAAGGAACAAAAACACTACTCACATTGAAAAGCCTTTCCGCTTAGAAACAATATGGTGCTCTCACCCCGACTTTATTAAGATAGTAAAAAAAAATTGGAGTAGTAATGACCTCCTAAAGGCAACTAGCTCTTTTGAAATTGATGTAAGGCCATGGATAGAGAAACCTTCGGAATATCCATAAACAAAAAAGAAAGCTCCTAGCTAGGCTAGGAGGGATCCAAAGCAGCCCTAAATATCACATAGCCCTTTCCTCCAACAATTAGAAGTAACTCTTACTAAAAGATATAATGACATCCTTAAGTTGGAAGAAGACTACTGGAAACTTAGGTCTAGAGTTTTGTGGTTGAACAATGGTGACGCAAACACAAAATGCTTCCACATTAGCGCTACTAATAGAAGAAGAATTAATAAAATAGTCTTCTTCGAAGATGATATGGGAAATTGGATAGATGATCACAATTTCATAATGCTTCACACGGTTAATTATTTCAAATATTTATTCATAACTTCCCAAACACACTCTAATTGGCATACAAGAACTACTGTAACCCCTATGGATCCCTCCTTTGACCTATCGTGCCTAGATTATCCCTCAACGGATCAAGAAATTGCTAAGGCAGTCTTCTCCTTTAGTCCCTATAAATCTCCAAGACCTGATGGTCTGCACCCTTTCTTTTATCAAAAATATTGGCAAACCATTAGGGATAATGTAAATACTTTTTGCCACAAAGTATTTGAGGATAGCTGCATTCCTAAAGTTACTAATAACACCTACATGTGTCTAATTCCTAAATTTGAGAATGCCAACAATCTACGAAATTTTAGACCAATTAGTCTCTGTAATACTATTTACAAAATAATCACAAAGATCATCCCCAATAGAATAAAGCCTTACCTCACCAAATTAATTGGACACATCAAACAAGCTTCATTAAAGGTAGAAGAGCTTGTGAAAATGCTGTCATAATCCAGGAGGTAATAAAATATATTAGGAATTCAAAATCAAAGAAAGGGCACATGATCCTTAAAATAGACCTTGAAAAAGCTTTTGACAAACTAGAATGGTCTTTTATTCGTAGAACTTTAAGTTACTTCAAATTCCTCCCAAAAATCATAAATCTTATCATGTCATGCATAACAACTCCTAACTACTACATCCTTGTTACTGGTTCAAAATCAAAATCATTTACTCCCACGAGGGGTATTAGACAAGGTGACCCAATGTCCCCATATATTTTTATTTTGTGTATGGAAATGCTCTCCAAAATGATCTGCCACAAAATTGACATTAGAAAATGGGATGCATTGAAAATTACCCCTAGAAGCCCCCCACTATCTCACCTATTCTTTGCCGATGACATAACCCTAATAGGCAAAGCTAACACCAAAACAACCCTCACAATCTTAGAAAGCCTTAATGACTTCTGCCTACTTTCAGGACATGCAATCAATAGAACAAAGTCCAAATTAATTGTATCACCAAACTGCACTAAAGCAGCTAGAATGGAATTATCCACAATCTTCAATATCAAGCTTAGTGATAATTTTGGTACTTACTTAGGTTTTTCTATTGTTAATTCCAACCCCAACCCAAAAGACTACTAATTTGTGGTTGATAAAATGAGAGCAAAGTTGGGAAGTTGGAAAGCAAGATGGCTAAATACTGCAGGTAGATGTACGTTAGCTACATCCACCCAAAACAACATGCCAAATCACATTATGCAATATTCACTCCTCCCTACAAAAATCCTAAAGGAAATTGATAAGGTCCAACGGGATTTTATATGGAACTCCACTCTAGAAAAAAGGAAAATTCATCTCCTAAACTGGGATTCCGTTACAAGGGACAAAAGCATGGGGGGTTTGGGAATCAGGAAGGCAAGGAGTAAAAACTTGGCACTTCTTACTAGTCTAGTATGGAGGTTGATTAGTACTAAATCTCTATGGACCCAAATCATAGCTAGTAAATATGCAAGTGCTAAGAATAAAAATCAACCTTCCTTTATATGGAAAAGTATTTTGAAGGGATGGTACTATTGCAATATAGGCACTAGATGGGACATTAATAAGAACAGCTCTCTTAGCATTTGGGAATCAAACTGGATTTCGAATGTAACAAATCTTAGAAAAGCTATTGAAGGCCCCCTAAATCTTAATGAAGATAAAATGACAATTGGTAAACTAAGGAAAGGGACCAAATGGACTTTCTCTAACTTATCTTTTGACCTACCAACTTGCATTATAAACAACATTAATGCTATTGGTACCTATAATTCTCCACCTACTGGTAATAGCCACAACATATGGAGCCTTACCTCAAATGGTATCTTCTCAACCTCGTCCTGCTATAAAATCATCGATAAAACCGGGGAATGCCTAAAAGACTTTAACTGGATATGAAAATTACGTTGTCCTAACAAAATAAATTTTTTTATTTGGAAATGCTACCATGATAGGCTTCCCACTAGATCATATCTAGCTAAAATAGGGATTAATATTAACCCTAATTGCCCTACATGTAAGCAATAAGAAGAAATAATCCATCACATATTCTGGGAATGTGACACTATAAAACACCTTTGGAGGGAATATGGTATTAGCTATAACATTGTCACATCCAATACTCACTGGATAGACCAAATCAAGGAAGCGAGACACACTTTCCATCACAAATACCTTCAGTGGGCAGACATCTTCCCATTTGCAACATGGCAAATATGGAAAAATAGAACCACAATAACCATAATAATACTAGTTGCTACCTGAATTGGAATTCCATCATAAGGCATGCATTAGAACATAATCTACTCACAGAGAAAGGTATGAATAGCACGACCCAAAAACCTATTAAAATAAAATGGCATAAGCCACCAAGAGGATGGTTCAAATTTAATATAGATGGAGCATTGATAACTAGGGATTTTGACGCATTTTATACCCCTTTGTGCTTATGCTTTGATTATAAATTCATACAAAAATAGTCCCAAAAGGCTCATAAGTTGTGCTTGATTGCAGGTTTGATCA